TTAAGATTCAGATTAAGAATCGAAAATAGGACATTTGTTGTTGATTGGTTAAATAGAAATATAAATTTCTATTTTGTGAATTGATTTAAGTTACAGCGGGGCCTCTGTAACAGTTTCTATCTCAGTTTTTTCAATATCTTCATATTAAACACAAAAATGCATGTTTATCTTTCCTCATTTTTGCTGTCATTATTATCTACACTGCTATATTGTAAAAATCAAACACATGGGTAATGCAAAAATATCAATGATCGAATAAGAGTACCTACCAGTCGATGTAAGAATGCGTATTTTTTAATGTGAGTCTACAACAGGTATTACGTTGTATATATAGTCGTTACATATTTTTTCTTTTTTTCCAACATAAAATGCTTACCTGAGTCAATGAAGTGTGACTCTAATTTCACTGCTTCTTAATTTCGCATATCAAAAGATTGCTTCATTTACACGGCCAGTTCGCCAAATAAGTGATTCATATTTTTCTTTCAATTGTGACCAGTGTACCCAACGTATCAACGAAGATTCCATTAGGATAAGACAATTGTGTCAGAGCATTCCCTTCGCCTTCTCCTCCAGCGACCACAATACCTTCTTTTGCACCTTTATTCCATTTCATTACACGATGATTCAAGTGATCTGATACGTAGACAGTCTGTTGTCGATCGACAAAGAGATATCTCGGCAGGTTGAGTTGATTGAGACCATCACCTTTACCATTACCACCAGCTACGAGAGTGCCATTCTTCTCACCCAATTGATATCGTCTTACTTCATGTTTTTCATAGTCAGAGACGTAGAGATATCTCTGCTCATCCATAGCTACTCCATAACAATCGATGCTATCGATGAGTATTTCACCTTGCGTTGTACCACTACGACGAGACCATCGTACAACTCGTCGATTCCCTGCATCACAAATAATGAGACTATCCGTCTCTTTGTCAATTAATACATCAGTTGGCCAATTCAATTGATGTAATCCATTTTCTTTGCCTTTACCACCAGCGACAGCTTGCCCATTCGTTGTATCACCGTTCTTCCATTGCATGATACGATGATTCCTGTAGTCAGCAATAACCACTGTTTGATCATCATCAACGAAGAGACCTTCAGGCAAGTTGAGTTGATTAGTGGCACCCCCATACCCGTTACCTCCAGCAATAGTCACTCCGTTCTGCTTCCACGTAGCATTAGCAGGAATATTAACTAGAAGAGAAAACGTATAAGAATAAAAGGAGATCTTTTTCTCTCTCAAAAGTATCGAGTACAATTCTTTGAATAGATCATTCTTTCTTTTCTTTTTGCTAGAAATTCCTCAGAATAATCTATATATACTGAAAGATTATTCTATAGAAACAAAATAGAGTTCCCTCTAATGCTCTTTTTTCTTGCATCAAAATAGTTCTATATTTTCTATGAACATATATGAACTTATCATATGCGTACGTTGTTGTATTATTTTCCTATCTTGAAGATGTCAATTTACAGTTGATTTAAATTTAACTTCGTGAAAAGTTAATATTTGTTCATAATAGTCAAAAAATTCCTCTACAGATTATGCAGAGTCCGTCACCTTTCTTCTTCAAAAACATCGGGATGCTCATAACTATATACATATTTAATAACAAAATTCGTAGAAGAATGACTATATAGCTTTATCAAATATATTTGACTTTAAATAGTAGCAATCAAGTCAAGAACTATGTTTATCTACTCGGTTTCAAAATTTAGTTAACTTTAAATGTGTCACCCCTATTTCGTATGATCAAAAAATATATTTTTTGCTAGAATCTTTTTCGTTTTCTCTTATTAAATAGAACATTTCCTATTTAGAAAATCGTATATTTTTATGTTCTGGAATATATAAATTATTCTGTGACATTAGCAGGAATATTAACTAGCAGAGAAAACATAAGAGAGATCTCTTTCTAGAGTATACACTGTAAATTGTTTTGAAATTCTACTTTTTAGAAAATCGACTTTAAATAAGCAATTTTAAATATTCAGAAAATACTTGATTTTCTAAATTATAGAAATTCAATTGCAATTTTATAGAAAATCAAGATAAATTCTACAAAAATTAAAACATCATGAGTGCATTCATTATTTTCTCTGCTAGCTCTAGCGAGCAGATCAATTATACCTCTTTTTTTCGAATCTACACGAGTCAGCCCATTTTACATGAGCAAAAACACCCTCATACTATATATCCAAATTTGTTCTTGTTATTCACGAAAAGAATAT